TCATCTATTTATACAACCGGCTAATTTCTAAATATTTAAATTTTAATTAATTATAATTTTGCAAAACCTATAGATATTTGACAAAGGTTACCGAGCATCAGCTTTGCCTTATGAGTGATGAAGATTTAGAAAGTTTTGATTGGAATTTATACAATACCGATGTTGATTCAGACGACGATAAAGGGTTTTGTGAATTTGAAGTCAAGAAAAGTCAGGAAGTACAGGAGGACTTTAAAATCTATCCCGGCTTTAAGGTTTATATTTAAAACGTATTAACGTTGTATAAAATATAATGAATTAAATACTTTTTCAATCATTAAGGTGGATTTATCTGATAAAATAAAAACCGAAATACAAAATACTCATGAAGATGGTGTACCCTTGCATCCTATTGGTAATAATTTATATTTTGTGAAATGTACTAATATTTAAAATTCAATTATTTAATTTACTGTTATTATGATTTAGTTGTTGAATCTGCTACAAATCAATCGTTTGTTACTCGGAGATTAATAAGGGAGACTTCTATTTTGCAAAATTTCTATTTAAGAGCCTATGGATCAGAATTATCACAAGAACTTCAGTCCAGATTACAGGGACGACGATTATATATTGATCGTGGAAGTATGACGATGAAATCTTTGGAAATTTTGATTATACATGGATTAAAAATGGAGGATGAACTTTTGAAACCATTTCGTAGTGAAATACAAACTGCAAAATTACAGAATGAAGAAAAGAAGAAACAAAAAATTGAAATTATGAAAAAGGATAGTGAAAAAATTTCAAATTTAGCATGGAATAAATTATATGATCGTTATAGGTATATATATATATATATTTCATTTTTTTTAAAAGAAAAATATACATATTGTTTATACTTATGTTTTATCAGGCCTTTTGAAGAGTTTGAAAGAAATCTCTCGAAAATTCCTCCTTCACGAGAAAATATATTTGATATAAGCGATAAAGGTTAAGTAATTTTATCATATAAGATAATTTATAATTATTTATTATTCTAATCAGTTTAAGTTTTATTAATTTAGATTTAGAAAGTACCCGTTCAAAATATCCCGATAAGGAAGGTCAAATTGATGATGTAATTAATAAAATCAATTCCAAAAATTGGAATAAATTGAAAAGTCGATATATTTTAACTTCGACTATTATTTTTGATATATTGGAAATGAATGAAGTATCTGCAAGTCAGGTTTTTTATGATATGTTCAAAGAATCTGCAAGTCATAATATGTTCAAGGAACCTGATGATAAAAATCAAACACTTTTTTCACGATTCTCTGTTAAAGGATTTAAAGAAATATCGTTTATAAAATTTGTATCTGACATTATTAATTCCAAAAATTTGCTTAATATAAAATCTGTGCAAGACCTTATTAATTCCAAAAATCTGTCAGATATTAAATCTGTTCAAGAATTGATTCATTTCAAAAATCTTTCAGATTATACAACATTACAAGACCTTATGAATCTCAAGAATATATCAGATGAAATATTTGTGCGAGATCTTATTAATTCATCATACCTTGGAAAGTACAAAAGTGAATTAATAATTATTTTCTTAGAAGAATACAAAAAATGGAAAGTTACCTTGTATAATGAAATTCAAAAACTCCTGCCGAAAGATTCTCTCATTCAATTATCACTTCAGTTAAGGGAAGAATTTGAGCTAGAGAAACTAAAGATTGAATCTCGTGAATTTGAAAGGCTTTGCAATATAATTGAAGAAAAGTATCAAAATAATGGGTAAGTCTATATTACCTAAATATTATATTGATTAATCGGTATCAAATAATTTTTCTTTTTTTTTTTTTGTAAAATATTCAATAGAAATTTGCGGATGAATATACAAAGTATAACAGGTGATTATTTTTAAAATTTTATAAGTAATTAATAACAAGTTTTTTTAACATTTTTTATATTTTTAGTATTTAATTCATACTCTAATGATTTGACTAGGATTGATAATACTTTCTTTTTCAAACATGAGCTTGAAATAATTGAACCAACACAACTTAAAATAACGATTTGTGAGACATCATTAGATCAATCAGATATCTTTCATTTACATAATGAAGAGTTATATATTCCAAATCCAATTTTGCTTTCTTATAATAATTACATTGGTCAATATGACGTTAATTTTCAAATTGATCCTGCAATTTACGATTTCAGGTAATAATTTCATGTTCTGGATTTTTTTAAATTTTTTTTTTCATGTCTGACAATATTTACAAATCTCAGAAAAATAGCCCAATTTGATAATCGCAAATTTCTTCTCGTGCTTTACAATAAAAAAAACCAAAAAATCGAAATTTTCTTTGACACAGCTCAACGGCTAGCAAATAATTTCAGATCATATTCAATTAAATATTTTAAAACATTGAATACAGATGAAAATATACTTATTGCAATTAATGAGCCAAAAGAACTAATCGCTATATATGATACAAAAAAAGTTTTGGTATGTTAAATGTTCCTTGGGATTTTATTGTTTTTATACTTTTAAAAAACATAAGACTAATTAAAATTATTTATAAAATAGTTGAACGTATACTCATTTAGTGATGAACAAAAATATTTATATGCTCGAAATCCAAATATCCAGTTACTTCAATGGTATAATAATATGGTCCCAAATCTTCAACATTTATTTTTTATTAAGGGTACCGAGGATCTCTGCTTTGTTGAACAATGTGGTAGGGCACGTATTTTCAATCTTGTTAATAAGCAATTTCGACCAGCGGTTTGTAGTTTTCCATCAAATACTGCAAATGTTCTGAGTTCACCCGATGGATCATGTATTGTAGCGTTTGTAAAAGAAAGGTTAGAGTATAATAACCCTGATAGCGTTACCGAAATCAAGGAGAATAATGAGATTATGCATGTAACTGGTAGTACACATAATTTTAATAATTCTGTCAAAGCCAACATTAAAGAAATATGCCGTGCTTATGTTTATTTTTGCACAAATTTTGGCGTTTCTGTTAATAAAGGTAGTTTAATCTATTATATTATTATCTAAAACGAGCAATTTTTTTTTTTCAAAATTAATGCTCACGTTTCTTTATAGTTGTTGACTTACCACCATCCCTTCAATTCTTGGAATTCTTGCAATTTACTTGTATTAATAAGTTACAAACTCACTTGATGTCAATTGATTTACAAAATGGATGTTTTAGCTCCTCAATAGTTAAAATAACTCTCGAAAAAACTCAATATCGTTTCCAAAAACGAATGCAAAAACAGTTAATTGGACGTGTGAGATTAAATGATACTATTATCGAAGGAGAGAATACACGCTTTAAAGAAATCGTTCATAAAGGTGAATTTATAGTGTTAATGGGAGAAAGATTTAGTGTGATGGATGTTCTTTCTGACACAAAGTTAAAAATTGCTGGTAACCTCAATACTATAAGTGGATTTGATAATTGGATGGATTTCCGCATTGAGCCAAAATCAAAATTAAATGGTCTCATTGATGCTTATAAATTAATGTTTGAGAAATATCCAGTTGATAGTTGCGTAGATCTTGAACAAAACTGTCCTCTTAATTTGAAGATAGTTCTTGATATTGAGAATAATGATAAAATAAAAGAATATGACGAGAAATTTGAAGAATACATTTTTGAAATCTTTAAAGATCTAAAGAATTCCACAAAAAAGCCCACAACACTCCTAAAAAAATTCTCTACATCAGTCATTACTTTCAAGGAACTCGATATTAAAATTGTAAATTTTCAAAAGTGTTCATCAGAATATAAATTAGGAGATTGGATTATTCAACTTTGTTGTTTAATTCCTATACAAATTGCTGTAGCAAGAAATAACTTGTTTCTACCTCTCCGGGATGGATTATTTTCAAATGTTGAATTTGATGGTTATGGACATGTGAATAATATTGCAGAAAACATTTCTTTTGGATGGTATGAAGGAATTTTCAAACATTTCGGTGATAAAAAAGTTAAAGTTGTTTCTAGTATGGGGGAACAATCATGCGGAAAATCGTTCATGCTAAATCATCTTGTTGGAACTTCTTTTGATGGCTCAGCAATGGTAAGATATTAATTTTAGTTAGATCTCTATTAATTAATTTATTTAGAAAGTATTAATAAATCAAATGTTCATTTAGCGTTGCACTGAGGGAGTATGGATGTCATTAGGTAAATAAATAAATAAATTAACCCTTTATATTTCTTTAAATAAAAAGTTAGTTTTTTTTTTTTTTTTAAAAAAAAAAAAATAAATAAAATAAAAAATAGTAAATACCAAGGAATATATTTATGTCGCACTCGATTTTGAAGGTTTAAATTCTCTTGAGAGAAGCGCTCAAGAAGGTAAATTTACAATGTATGTAATTTATCGTTTCATTTAGATACTCATGATATTATTTTTTGTTTGTTTTAGACCTTTTTTTAACACTTTTCAATACCATCGTATCAAATCTCATACTCTTTAAGGTAATGTCGCATTATTGTTTATTCGTTCTTACAAATTTGTCTCATGTGAATCCTTAATTTCAAAACAGAATCAATTTGCAGTAAATCGAGATATTTCTTCAATGTTCCAAAGATTTCAGGACGGTGCAATGTTATTTGAATCAGATTTAAAATTATTTCAGGTACAAGTATAATAATTTTATTTCCTATGCTAAATATAATAAATTTAGTTTTGTTAATTCCTTTAATGATTTAGGCAAAACTTTGCGTTATCATAAAAGATGTGCCTAGAGCAGATAGAGAAGGCATTCTTCAAGAATTTCAGTTAAAATTTTCTCAATTGGTTTCAGAGGTATATTTATTATTATTAAATTGCTTTGTTTTGTTACAGTGCAATTATGATTTTTTTTTTAAAAAAATAATTATGATGTATTAAGGAAGGTGAAGATAATTTCATCTCAAGAATGTATCAAGGTGGATTGGATATTATTCCTTGGCCAATGTTTAATGATGCTGCATGGTTTAGGACATTATCAAAATTGAATAATAGGCTAGATATGCAAAAGGCCAAATATGACAATGCACGAACTTTCCTACAGAATACAAAAGTACTTATGGCTAAATTAAAGGTTCGTATACAATTTTTAATTATCTATTAAATTAGTAAGAATTAATTTAATTTTCTTATTGTAACTTTAGATTTGTGATTGGGGATCGTTAGATGAAAACCTCATACAAATCCGTGTTGTAACATTAAAAAGATTACTAATAACTGTCATTTCTTATGGGTTGGAACAAAATGACTCTGAAATTGAACAACTTATGGTATAAATGATTTATAATTGTAACCGTTATAGAATTTATAAAATAAATTTTATTTATTAAATTCATTTAGAATCACGACACCGGAACACCGATTGATGACCCGATTGTCAAATTTTCTGATATTTTACAAGACTTCAAAGATTCCGATCAAATATTACCGGATTCTGGTCTCCAATTATACGGTGGTTATGAATCATTTGTCAAACTTTCTGAAGATTTAATTGCTTACTTTGAAGGAAAAGTTCAACAACGAAAAGACTCATCTGATGATGCCAAATGGTTCGCCAACTTAAATAGATTCATTAAATATATTGTTGATCGTCGAGTATTACGTGTTCAAGATTGGTATTTGCAAAATACTGACAAGTTCGCTCAGCAAAATAAACAAAACGGTGACATTGTTAACGGAAAGTATGCAATGGAGCAAGAAATAAGCAAACTTATAATTTTATGGACATTGTGTGGTTTAACGTGTCATCAATGTGGTTTAAAATGTGTTAAAAGTCGTGATCACGAAGAGAATCATGATTGCTTAACGGATCATAAGTGTAAATTTCTTTGCCACTTCACTGAAGTTCACAACGAATCATCAATTCCAACATGTAGTTATATAGCTGGACATGAAGGTAAACATGCTTGCAATGAAGCGAATCATTTGTGTGGTAAATCATGTAGTCTTATCGATAAGCGTAATTGCCAACAAGTTTGCTCAAAAGAAATCGGACATGTTGATGAGCATATGTGTCAATCATCACGTCATTATTGTGGAGAAGCATGTTCATTATCAACGACAACTCAGAAAGGAAATTATCATTGTCTTAATAAATGCATTATACCATATGAAGAAGAACATGATTTACATCATTGTGAAAATGAAACGTGCCCAATTCAATGTCCAATTTTAGATTGTCAGAGAAAATGTCAAAGCAATGAACATTTCCACTCTAATTCTAATTCGCAAGTAGATCATTTTTGTGGGTATGTATCAGTTTTATAATGTTATTTGCATTCTTTGTATATATGTAATTCATTAAAATATTTATGGTTTAAGAAATGAACATCAATGTCGAGAATTATGCGAAGAAGCTGGTATATGCAAAGTAATAGTCGAACCAAAGAAGCAAGAGGAGGTTTATAAAGGGTTAATTGCAGAAACTTCTATTGCATTTACTAAGGTATAGATTTATTAATACATTTAATTACGTGATAAGATAGGGTTATTAATTTTTCATTTAATATTATAATAGTATATTCAATTAAGTGAAAGGTTGAGGTGTAACAAAAGAATTCCTCCAAATGAGTTTAATCATACTGGAAAGCATATGCATCATTCAAACGATGACCTTACACAAGATGGTTTTCATTTTTGTGATGTAAAATGTCAATTCTGTGAATATTTTGTATGTAGCGTTAAAATAACTTTTATATCCTTGATTTGTTTATAAATATATATTAAAATCTATATTGTAAAATTAGTGTACATTACCATATGGGCACCCACAAATTCATAGCACAACACATGGAAATATGATACAAACTGAGTTCACTAGTGAAGATAATGAATTTGAATATGCAGGGTATTGTATAAAATAATATAGGCTTATTTGTAATTATATTAAATTAGTCTATTATTAAAATAATTTAATTAGGCATAAATTAAGAGTTGGTGATCAAGGAACTTTTGTTCTTTGTAATTTGGTAGGTTACTGAAATTTTTTTATTTACATTATTATACAACTTATAATTTAAAAAAATCCTTTCATTAATAGTTTTGTAAAGATTCAGGAAGACACCGTCATATTAGTTATTGTCAAAATAAAGAAATTTGTCAAGGACAAGATATACAGCATATTGATGGTAATGTAGACTTTTATTTTTAAACGTAAAATGCATTAACGATTAACATTAAATAAATCGTAGGACAAGTACAACCTAATCCTAGCAGACCAAAAGATTTTATTTCTCACAAATTATTCTGGGAACGAACGGGTTTTAAAGGTAATTCATATTAAATAATTTTGTATGATACTTTTATATACATATAGATTTATTTTTTTCAAATTTTAGATCCTTATTCTGCTCAAGAACAACAAGAATTTGCGAAATGTGATCATGAATGTCCTGATGAAAAGCATCATACTTCTAAGGGGACTGCAAGCGAATCACTAACTAAATCATTTTGTGAATTATCACTTTTTCATGCTACGCTTGATTCACATTCTAATCCTCCTAATGATAATGGATACATATCCTTGGATGGGCATCATTTTAACTGTGAGAATCCAAGTACACGTGAAGCCGCTTTTCATATTATCTTTGTCTTGGATCGTTCAGCTTCTATGGGAGATCAAGATAGAAAACCAATTCTAGACTATACAATTTACAATATTTTAAAGTTCTGGAATCATAATAATAGGCTTGGCGCGGTATATCATGCGGTAAGGTTAAAATTTTTTAATTATTCTTTAGTCTTTATCTTTAATATTAAACTTTTTATGTTAGGTTTATCAATTTATGGATGCACGTATAAATTCTGTTCAAACAAATCAATATCAAGTCAATCATGATAAATTATCATTGATCTTATTTAATCATGAGGTTTGATCTTTAATATCGTTAACATTTGAATTAAAAATATTTATTTATACTAATTATTAATAATTATAGGTTATCGTTCCGTTTGAGAATCAAGATCTAACTGATCCGATGAAATTGTTAAATAAAATGATTGAACACCAACCTGAAGGTGGAACGCGTTTCACACTCGCAATTCAGAAAGCAGGATCTTTGATTTCATCTTACCATGATCCTTCAAGGTATTGGTTTAAAAAACAAAAGTGTTTATTAGTGCTTTTAGTACAACTACAACTTAAAAATATTCTTATTTTTTAGAACAAATATTATTATCTTTTTATCTGATGGAGAATGCAACATACCAACAAGTCAGCTTCATGATATCTGTAAAGAAAATCAAACAAGAAGGTAATTACTTTTATATTTATGTATTATAAAATAATTTAATTTGTATCCTAATTTCCTTTGAAAACTTTCAGATCCCCATTATATCTCTATACAGTATTATTTAGCAACGACTCAAACAGTTCCTCCTTAGAAGAAATGGCGAAGATCGTGCAATCTTATCACACTAATGATATATCATCCGGTGGTTTGCGCTGTCAATTTACTCGAGCCATCAATGAGATTAATTTAGTAAATCACTTTACTAGCGTTGCTGAAAGTTTAAGGAAACATAAGCCAACTTTGTTAAAGAAGGATCCTATTTTATAATTTTTTATTATTTGATGTTTTTTGGTGGTTAGCTCATAAATTATAATTTTTTTTTATAAACGATTTAAATCTATTTGTGGATGTATTTATTTATTTATGATTAGATTTAAAGTTTATGCTATAATGTGAAGTATCAAAACTAGTTTTTTTTTTTCGGCTAAAATTAACTTAGGCCCGCACACTATAAATGTGGTCAGAGTTGTCAAAATTTTCTGTAATCATGAAAATTGAATTTCGGCAGGAATTAAAATTAACCATGGATAAGAATTACTTTTTTGTCTAAACTGAAATAATAATTTAAATAGCAAATTATATATTCTATTGATTTATTTAATAAAATTTTATTTCATTTATTTTATTTTTTAATTCATTTAAACTTCTTCATAAAAACTAGGAATTATAAAGATAGAACTTGAATAAAAGTCTTCAATTGTGAACAAAGTTCTCGTGTTCGAGGCATTTTATTGTGCCTAATGAAATAAACAGTTTAGAAAAGTCAAGCAAAGTTATAATTTATCGTTTAAGAACTACTAATACAAGCTCGCGAAAAAAAAATTTAACTGAAGAAAAAATTAACACCATATTAAATTATCAATATTGTGGCCCGATGCGATAGCCGGCTCAGGGGAAAAAAATGTAAAAATCGTTCGACTTATACTTCAAATGCGATCCAAACCATCTTCACGACCCCTGCAGTTATAATAATATATATATATTATTTTAGAATATAATTTATTGACAGAATTGCGATAGATGCATCTCGAGATGCAAGAACTCAACCTAAATAGTCTAAAGAAGAAAAAAAGTTAAATGATCAAATAATAAAACCGATAGATTCTCTGAGAATTCAAACAATTTTTTTTTATTTTTTATAATAGCATAACTATGTTATAAAAAAATACGTAAAAATTAATAAAATTTTCGCATCATATTTGTTTTTTATTCTGTGAAAAAAAAAAAAAAAAACCAAAAGATTAATTGCGTTTGAACTAACATAAAGTTACATATCAGACTTGACTTCCCTCTTCCATGTTAAACAAATCAAAAATCATCCTTTTAGATAAGTAATAAATACGTACAGTAAATTAAATGTCACTTTATTAATTTTCCTCGATACAAAAAAAAATTTTATTCGAACAATTGTCTATTTGATACCTTTTTTTTTATAATTAATACAAATTTAATTTAATGCAAATTCAAAATCAAAATAAATTTTAACCTTCCTCATTTGGAAGATGAAAAAATTGAATTTTTTTTTTTAAAAAGTTCCCTTTGCTTTTAACGTTTGTATTATATATCGCAAACTAAAATTATATATAATTACTGCGCCCAAACGATCCGAAATTAAAGGATGTATAATTTTACTAAATTATATGATTGCTGCATATTGAAGCAACCATGTCTTTATTATTCTCTTAACTAAAAGTAATAAAAAAAATAAAAATAATTAGTTTTTTATCTCTTTTATTCAAATCATAATATTAATTATAATTGTTGGTGAGATCATGTATAATATAAAACAAATTTATATATATGTTTATAATAGAATAAGTATACTTTTCTTTATAACAATGTTAATTTTACTAAAGATTTACCTTCTTAAATAGACAATAAATGCTTTAATATGCTTAAAAATTAGTATAGTAAAAAAAAAGATCCACGGCAATATAGAAACCTCAATATGCTTGACCCAGTCCACTAATGTAAGCTGGTGTTAATTTGGGTTTATTGTCTTTTAATTAAAAATATTTAAATATAAAATTAAGATATTTTTTGCTATAAATCTTTTATATTTTATTATTCCAAGTTAATAAATGTATAATATATTAATATACAATTATATAAATTAATAAAATATTTAATAAAAAAAAGTATTGAATTTAACCAAGGTTAACTTTTGATAAAAAAAATATTTTATTTATAATGGTTTAATATTTATTCTATATATTACCCGCTTACTAATTGTTCGCCCGTGATGTTTTACATTGATATTTTACCAGAAACACTATCGGAGTTGAATTTTCCGTGAAAATATCAATATGACGCAATTACCGTGATATA